CAGTTTATATTGATGATTTAAATTTAATTAAAACTCCTTAAGAGCTCAATAAAACTGCAAATTATTTCAAAAATGAATTTGAAATAAAGGATTTGGAAAAAATCAAATTTTATCTCGGGTTACAGATTGAATATTTTTCAAAAGAATTATTCATTCATCAATCTACATATATAGAAAAAGTTTTAAAACATTGTTATATGGATAATGCACCTCCATTGGAATTACTTATGGCTGTTTGGTCACTTCATGTGGCAAAAAGGTTAACTTCGTCCGCTTGAAGATGGAGATAATGTTATTAGTCCTGAAGTATCACATCTTAGTGCGATTGAAACACTAACTTATCTTGTAAATTGCACTCGACTAGATATAGATTTTTCTGTAAATCTCATTGTAAGATATAACTCTATGTCAACTCAAAGATATTGGGATGGTGTTAAACACATTTTTCGTTATTTGAAATGTATTATTGATTTGTAATTTTTTATTTTCAAAAGTCAAGATCTATTTTAGTGGAGGTTAACTTCAACAAAAGATATTCCAACAATTTTGTATGAAGACAATGATGTTCATATTGCACAACTTGAAGAAAGCTATACCAAAGGTGACAGGACGAAATATAATTCTCCAAAATTCTTTCATACACAACTTTCAAAAGAATAGTGACATCAATGTTCAACAAATTTGCTCAAGTGACAATGTGACTGATTTATTTACAAAAGCACTACCAATATTTACATTCAAGAAATTGGTTCACAGGATTGAAAATGCGTCGAATCAAAATTTTTAGTGATCAACATCAGGAGAGTATCTTTAGTCTATTTCCTTTGCTTAGGTTTTATCCTATTGGGTTTTTCTAACAAGATTTTAATGAGGCAGTATTTATCTTTAATATTCCAAAATAAATATGCTCTTTTTCCTTCATTTGATTTTTTTTGTCCAGTTGGATTTTTATCAAACAAGATTTTAACAGGACAGATATTTCGTAGTACATCATTTAAAATTGAGTACTATAAATGGTAAGTTTATTAATGAATGATAATTGTACCCCTACAAACTTATAAATTATTACTATTGTATCTCTAATCTTGCCATATAAATGTAGAGTTTTGGTTTTCATTATAATACACACAAGTCTATTGTCTTTTATTCTATCTTCTTTTTTTCTCTCTTTTCATAACAAATATCATAAAATATATTATTAAAAAATTAATTATTGACTTTAACATAATTAAATTTTTATTTTTAATTCTTATCAAATAGGACATATATTTTCAAATTTGTGTTGTCTTTTTAGTTTGTGAAAACTCCACTTTTTGAACACTACTACTCGGATTCCCAAAAATACAAGAATGTAACAATATTTTGAAGCTTTATGTATTTATTTAAGGTACATGGTGTTTTGATGGTGTAAACAAAATGGGTTGGATGTGGAGAGATCCAAATAAACATTAAGATGAAAAAACGTAGACATTACACATCAATTATGAATGCAGTCCCTCCCAACATTACCCGTACCCACACTATTTTTTTATTGGTAAATGTAAAATTATATTAATAATAAGATGTGAACAAGTATTCCGGGCGTACTCGGGCTTACAAGAATCAAAGATGTTCCAATGATATCAATCTAAATGTCCATTAATAAAGATTCACAATGATACAAAACATGATGACACAATGAAAACATGACTTTGAATACCTGTATTTTAATCAGTCTAACTATGCTATTGGAATGTGTTCTTAAATTTTCAAAGATCAGTCTACTTCAAGTTGCCTATATATGATAAACAGTACTTGCCAGCGCAATTTTCTTAGCATTGTTATGACAAAATGTCCCACGTCCCTCATTCTTGATCCATTTCAAAGCACTAGGTATCTTAGCCGTGGCTCTAGTGATCCCAAACCAGTCTATACTCTGCCTCCAAAATTTCCATGCTCGTGCCACATTGAAAGAAAAGATGTTGGACTGATTCGATCGAAACTTGATAGAACATGCATATGTTGTTAATCTCCATGTGTTGTAGGCGATCTTTAGTAAGGAGCTTAGTCTTTGCACTAAGCAAAAGGATAAATGAATGTTTAGGGATAATGCATGAATTCAGAACATCCTTTGCCCAAATCATTGGCATCCCCTTCGATTAGAAATAATCATAAGTTTTAGTAATACTTATATTATCCCCATGGATCCTTATGAAAGTTTATGACAGGTAGCATGAGGTAATCCTTATGTATGCTTAAAGCACTTTGCATTGGATAATATCTTTTTAAGTAGTGGTGAATCATCCTTCTGGAACACCATTTGCATAATGATGCCCCTCTCAAATACACATGATTGACTCACCGCACCCAAAGTGTCTTTCTTGGCATGTATGTTCAATAGTGACTTGGCTAGTTGTGCATTATTCCAACACTTTACGTCTCGAAATCCTAATCCTCCCTCACTTTTGGGAAGACAATCATCAAACCATGCACCTAGCGATTTTCTGGAATTTCAAAGGAAATCTTGAAAGTGATTGTGGTCGAAATCGAAAATATATACATATATAAACTGAAAAATTTAATTCGCTGAACGGTAAATTACTCTAAGGCCATTACAAATATATTGATCTTTAGTTCTAATATTTTATACCATTAGACAATTATACATTATCTACTTTGTTTTGTTGTTCAGTAGAAAGTTTTAAAAATTTGTTTAGAAAATCGAGAAATTGGTATAATAATTGTTATAGAAAGCCACATATTATCCGCACTAGATAGAAATAAAGCTGACTCCTCTTTACTGATTAAGAAACAAATTAATGAACATTCTATCTCTCAGTGTTAAAGTTTCTTGATAAAAGATCTTGAAAATTGTAAGAAAAAACAAAAGACATAAAAACTACAAGATAAAATAAAGATAAAAAATAGCAAGATGCACACGATCATTACAAGAGAAAACACCTTTGAAATAACACTCATTATGGACTATTCTAGTTGACTTAGCCCCCGTTTGAGCCCCATTATTTCTCATTGCATTAAATTAAAATTTTCTCTCTCATACTTTTAACTACACAATTTTCAATAAAATAATATTACACGTAAATCAAAAACTTTTCAACCACTCATTTTTAAAAAAAAATACTATTCATTTCATTATAATCTATAAATAATGGGGCTCAAATGGTCCCTTAATGAAGTGTCAAGATTTACTTACTATATTCTACCAATGACTTCAGTTTTGAAATAATATTTTGTTATTAGTTATACTAAGCTGTTGTAATGAAATTTAACGATTTAAATAATAAAAGGCAACAAAAATGCAAAAATAATATATCTCAACTCCTTATTTACCAATTAACTTGTAAGTTGAGGTAAGCGAGACTAGGATTATATTTAGTATGACTTTTAAAAAGTCAAAAATGAAAATTTGAGATCTAAAATTTGCTTTTGCGACTATTTGGTTAATTTTTATTTATTTATTTTTTTTAAGTGCTTCTTTTAGTTAGAAAAACTTTTAGAGGAGGTTGGTCTAATACGATTTTTTTTAAAAGTACGATTGGAATAGGATTCTTTTTACAAATTAATTTTTAAACAAAAATTAAGGTAAGCTTATCTAATTTCTCTTTAAAAAAATTAAATTACTACGAGAAGCAAAAATACAAGTAAATTATGTCAAATGGATCTAAAAGTGTGTTTGATTGACATATAAAATATCATCTAGAAAAGAAAATATTTTCCTTATTTTAAGTAAAATAAAAACCACATCCCCAAAGAAAATATTTTCCTTAAAAATAAGGAAAATTAGGCATATTTTTAAAAGTTGAAAAATATTTTCAATGAAAAAAATAACAATCAAACACTCAAAATAGAATTTATATGAAAATTTGATATTTTTCATAGAAAATAAATATAGCCCTTGTTTCAGCCCCATTTTGGGGGAAATAATGAATTTTTGAATAGTGTATTGATGGAAAATGTATGATTAAAAAATAAGGAAAAATTTTAAATTTACGCGTAATATTATTTTATTGAAAAATGTGTGAATAAAATAATGTTGAAATACTGTTGAAAAATACATTCTTTCAAAAGAATGAGATTCAAACAATGGCATAATCAAACACGCATAAGCATGAATTATGAGAGCGCACAAACACAAAACTAAGGCCATGTTTGATTGGTAAATCTTTTCCATGGAAAATGGATTCAATTTTCCCACTCTGTTTGATATGAGATTTTTTTTTTCATGGAATTGAAGTTCCAACTTTTCTTGGACCTTGGAATTTTCTAGCTTTTTAGGGAAAATGGTTACTGTAGCAATATGTAACTTTTTTTTTCTTTTTTGTTGACAATGAAGACAAATTCTAAGAATTATTGTAAAAAAATATTTTCCTTTAATTGATAATTTTTATGTAAAATAAAGTCAAACGAACATAAAAGATATATGATTTTCTTGAAATTTTTGTTTTTTTTTGTTTTGGCAATGGAAACAAATTTCATCCCCAATACCAGTAAATTTTATCACTTTAATTGACAATTTTCATATAAAATAAAGCCAAACGGATATAAAAAAACGTTTTAATTTAAATATTTTTCACGTGAAAAATTATACCAATCAAACACAATAATTTACAATTCTCAAGAAAATAATTTTCCATCAATTCAATTTTCTAAAATTCATTTTTCTTTTTACTCAAATTTCACCTTTGCAATAAAACGGACTATTAGTGAAGTGGTGGTGTCAGTTATGTCTTGTGGCACCAGTGGATAGAAGATGACTGACAAGTCATAAAAGCGTAAAGAAGAAAACAAACACACCACACATCCACGCTCTCTCTCTCTCTCTCTCTACATTCATATCCCACCACCACCACCACCACCACCACTACCATCCCCCACGCCGCCTCCAACCATACGGACACGTTTCATACCTTCTGCCGTTGGCATCATAATCATATCAACGTCCGGCAAATCTTGCTCTAATTTCCATTTTCTTAATTACTTTAACCTTTTAGTTGCTGCTGTCAATTCTGATGCGAAACCGATGTGAGTATTATTAATTATTCAAATTGGAAATGATCGAGGCTAGTTAGAGCGAATTGCGCTATGTGATTGCTTTGAATTGGAACCATGGATGCTTAGGGGTACCGTTTCTCGATTTTTGGGGTTTTATAGATGATAATTACCTAAATTGGGGGCTTACTAAATGGAAGCCAGAATTGGAAGTGAAGCTCAGCTTTATTACGGTCTGCCTTCCACGGATTTGAGGACAGTGGGGAAGAGACGCATGGAATGGGATCCCAACGATTGGAAATGGGATGGGCATCTATTCGTTGCTTCTCGACTCAATCCCAATCCTTCTAATTACCAGGGCAGGCAGTTTTTTCCACTTGAAAGTGGAATTACTACAACTAGGAATTCTTCTAACAGCTCCTCCTCTTGCTCCGAAGATTTAAATCAAGGGGCTGAGAAAGAAAAGAGGGAATTGGAGAAGAGGAGGAAACTTGTCGTAGTTGAAGATGATAATTTGGCAGATGAGGGCGGCAATCTTATGCTAAATCTTGGGGGACAAGGCTATCCAATGATAGAAAGGAACACAGGGAATGGGGATGGAACTTCCGGGAAGAAGACTAAGTTGGCTGGAGCTGCCACAAATCGTGCAGTTTGCCAGGTTGAGGACTGCAAGGCTGATCTGAGTAAGGCTAAAAATTATCACAGACGGCATAAGGTTTGTGAGATGCATTCGAAGGCTACTAGGGCACTTGTTGGGAATCAAATGCAACGATTCTGCCAGCAGTGTAGCAGGTAGATCCTAACCCTTCATTTGCTTCTGTGTGGTTATATTTACCAAGTCACCTAGCATTATCTTGGGGAATCTGTTAGGTTATTAACTGATCCTGATAATTATGTTGAGTATCTCTTTGCCCAGATTTGATTTTTGCTAAATCCTTGGTTTTTCATTCTGCATTATCAGAGTCCAATACTGATGGCATTTTGACTGGGTAATGCATTCTATGAAGTTATGAAGTTATGAAGTTATATGGTTACTAGTTACGCATGATTTTAATTTGAGCATAGTCGTACTGTCTTTCAATTCTCAAGTGATTTCTGTTCCCTATATTTTACAATTTTTTTGCAGGTTTCATGCACTTCAAGAGTTTGATGAAGGAAAACGCAGTTGCCGTCGACGTTTAGCCGGCCACAACAAAAGGAGGAGGAAATCTCAATCTGACAATGTTAACAATAACAATCCCTTGAATGATAACCAGGCGAGTGGTTATCTATTGATGACCTTACTGAAGATACTCTCCAATATGCATTGTAAGTAAATGGTGTTCCTCTGTTGAAACTTGACATTGTGTCCCATACTATTTCATATAAATTTATTGATCATCATTTTGCCTTCTAAGCTTATGACAACTGCAATTAATTTGTTCTGGGTTGCATGAGTTGCAGCCAATGGATCAAACCATAAAGATGATCAGGACATGATTTCTCATCTTCTACACAGCCTTGCTAGCCAGAAATCTTTGCATGGGGAAACAAGCATCTCTGGATGTCCGAAGGAATCTCAGGACTTGCTGAACTATCTCCCTTCTTTAGGAAATTCAGAATTCTTGCATGCCTTGCTCTCGAACAGTTCTCAAGGCCAGAGACCTGGAGAACAGGTTAGTACAATTCCTGTCGATGAAATGCTGACAAAGGATGGGAATCTACAAGCCACAAATTCTCAAAGACCAGGTGTTATGCTCTCCAACCATGGTAGTTCTCCAGTTGATGCAGAAGGCGTGGTCTGTTCTGCTGGGAGAAGCAAACTGAATAATTTTGATTTGAATGATGTTTATGTTGATACTGATGATGGCATGGAGGTTGTAGAAAGATCACACATCCCTGTGGATCTGGGGACCGATTCCATTGAGTTTCCTTCATGGGTGCAAGAATCACATCAGTCAAGTCCTCCTCAGACCAGTGGAAATTCAGATTCAGGATCTGCCCAGTCTCCTTCCAGTTCCAATGGGGATGCCCAGGTATATTTTACTATGCCCGAGTATGTCAATGTTATTTGCGATCTTTCTTTTACAAATCTTGTACCTTATAAATCTAAAGCAAGGAATGACCTATGAGTTGTATAACACTCGCAAGGAAGTTTGACTCAGATTTTCTATAATTAGGTGATCACGCATCATTAGAGACCACACTTTGTTGGTTGACTCATGAATGTTCGTGGGTATACAAGCTTTTCACTCATATCTTTCATTCTGAACTGTCTTTTACTTCCCTTCCAGAAACATTTTATTGCAGTTCTTGTTAGATGTTCCAATATCCAGAATGAATCAATACATCATTAATGAAAAACCATTCAGATCAACAAATCATCTACTTTAAATATAATGAGCCTATTTGCGATGTGTTCACTAATTTTTTTGATTTCTCACTCATAGGTTTGTAGAGGTTTCCTAAACTTGGGTTCTCCGAGCATCTAAGTTGTCGTTGTTGTTGTGAGTGTACAATCCCAACAAGAAGTTAAGTCCCAATAAATTGGAGGTCGGTTTACATATATTGAAAGGTCCCACAAAATCAAAACTTTTGCAACCACCTCTATTGTTAAGTTTGTTTTACACCATCTCTCTTATAATTTGTTCCATTGGATGGTAATTTCTTGTGAATGGAAGATAATATAGATGTACACATTGCATGCCCCTACCATCTAAAATATCTTTTCATTAATTTATATCTAGTTGGTACTATGCCCACTTAATAGAGTACATTCTTGTGTTCTATTTTATCTATTTAAGTATTTTCATACATTTAAGATCCAATTTTTTTTTTTTTTTTTACTGTACTTTTATGAGCTTTTTGTCCTTTAACAACCTAACAATCAATATCGTAAAGCATAGCTGATGTAACGAGTGTCTCATATAACTTGCCTTAACTGGATCATTTTCTTCCCCCCCCCCTTCTTCTTTGACACGTTTTTTTTTCCTTTCTTTCTGCCTCTAAATTGTGTGAATTTAAAGTGCACAATAAGAGGATATTTATAGGTGTGATAATGATAATAATATACTTAGAATTTTAATAGAATTTAAATTGGAATCTTAGCAAACAACCTTATCAATTAAAATTCCAATTACATGAGGATAAAATTTTAGTATAAATATGTTAAAATTCTAAATTTATCTAAACACCTTTATATTAAATAATCCGATAATAATTCAATATATATCCAAATATTAAATTCTAGTTTCGTTAAAACTCTTATTTTCAAATTATGAGTATGATAAAATTCTAAAGTTATTTAAATACTTCATAACAGATAATTCAATAATAAATTAATAGATATCTTAATTTTATGTGAAACTCATATATATCCAATTATCAAAAATATTAACACAACGAGAAAATGGTAAAGTTGCTAAGTGACCCTAAAATTTCAAAACGTGCAGTTATGCCTCATAATATATAGTATGAATTTTGGGTGTTCCATCCTGCCCTCCTTAAAAAATTTCGTCCTCGAAATTTACCTTGGTTATCGATAAGTTGTGGGTATTTAGCTTTAATATCTGCCTCATATTCCCAAGTGGACTTTTCCACCTCGTGATTCCGCCACTGAACCTTTACCAATGGAATTTCTCTATTTCAATGTGTTCGAATCTTTCTATCCAAGATGACTATTGGAGTTTCCTCGTAAGTTAGATCTGGATGATTGTCTAACGATTTAGGATTAATCACGTGGCTAGGGTTTGATTCGTATTTTCAAAGCATAGAGACATGGAAGACATTGTGTATTACTAAAAGTTCGGGAGGCAATACCAGCTCGTAAGCCACAGTTCCCACACGCTTCAAAATCTCAAAAGGTCATATGTATCTTGGTTAGAGCTTTCCCCTTTTTTCAAATTAAATAACTCCTTTCATAGGAGCTATTTTTAGTAAAGCTTTGTCATCAATCTCGAACTTAATATCCTTCTATTATCTGTATAACTTTTCTGTTGGTCTTATGCAATCTTTATTCTAGCTTGAATCTTTTCAATAGCCTGAACTGTTCGCTCAATAATCTCAAGCCTTAGAATTCTTTGCTCACCAATTTCATCTCAATGAGTTGGAGATCTACACATTCTACCATACAAATCCTCATAAGGAGCCATTCCTATGGTAGCTTAATAGCTATTATTGTAGGCAAATTCTACCAATAGTAGATGTTTTTCCCAGCTTCCTCCAAGATCTAAGATACACGCTCAAAGCATGCCCTCAAGAATTTGAATAATTTTCTCCGACTGGCGATCTGATTGTGGGTGGAAAGAAGTGCATACGTTTCCAAAATTTTGAAGTGAATCTCGGATCTTTATTTGACACAATAGAGACTAAGGTCCTATGTAATCTAATCACTTCTCTAACATATAATTGAGCTAATTGATCCATATTAAAAGTTATCTTTACTAGTAAGAAGTGAGTTGACTTTGTCAATCTATCAATAATAACTCAGATTGCATCATTTCCTCTATTTGACTTTGGAAGACCAATTACAAAATTCATGGCAATATGCTCCCATTTCCATTCAGGAATCTCTAGTGGGTTTAATAATCTTGACGGTCTTTGATGTTTTGCTTTCACTTGTTGGTAAACCATGCACTTCTCTACGAATAGACCTATTCCTCTTTTCATATTTCGTCACCAGAATGTGCTTTGAAGGCCTTTATAAATCTTCGTTCCCCCGGAATGTGCTGCATATGGGGTGAAGTGAGCTTCTTCTAATACTTCTTTTCATATCTCCTCATCCTTAGGTATACACAATCTTCCTTTAAACATCAATGTGTTATCTTTAGCTAGCTTAAAGTCTTTTCACTTGCCAGTGCCAACTTCACCTTTAATCTTTTGTAAAAATGGATCACTATCCTGAGCTTTCTTAATTCGGTCTCGAATAGTAGTTTGAATTGTGAGGGTGGCAATTCGTGCTACAATATCTACTGGAGGTAAGATCACCTTAAGTTGTAAGTGATCTATATCTTTGATTAATGATGTCTGTATAGTGGGTAAAACTATCAAATGTCATGTTGTCTTTCTGCTTAATGCATCAGCAACTACATTGACCTTTCCTGAATGATAATGAATGGCACAATCATAATCTTTGATCAATTCTAGCCATCTCCGTTGCCTCATGTTCAATTTCTTTTGGGTGAAGATGTACTTTAGGCTCTTGTGGTCCGTATAAATATTACATTTAACTGCGTAGAGATAGTGTCGTCATATCTTTAGTGCATGAACTACTGCTACCAACTCTAGGTCGTGTTGGATAGTTTTCTTCATAGGACTTTAGTTGTTTGGAAAGCATATGATATAACTTTAGCATGCTGCATAAGTATCGTAGACCCTGTTTAGATGCATCGCTGTAGATGACGAAGCCTTCTGACCCTTTGGGTATGGTCAAGACTGGAGCTGAGATTAATTTTTGTTTTAGTTCCTAAAAGCTCTGTTAGCACCTATTCGTCCATTGAAACTTCACGTTTTTTCTCGTTAATTGGGTCATTGGGATGGCAATCTTTGAAAAGCCTTCAATAAATCGCATGTAGTAACTTGCTAATCCGAAGAAGCTGCACACTTCTCTAACATTAGTTGGTCGGGGTCAATTGGTAATTGCTTCGACTTTTCCTGGGTCAACTTCAATTCTTTGGGCTGTGATTATGTGGCTTAAAAATTCCACTCTATTGAGCCAAAATTCGCACTTTTTGAATTTGGCATAGAGCTTTTCACTCCTCAGTATTCCGAGAATAATTCTTAGGTGTTTTGTATGTTCATGTTCACTCTTTGAATAGATTAGTATGTCATTAATGAACATGATAACAAACTGATCCAGATAGTTGTGGAAAATTCGATTCATGAGATTAATGAAGACTGCTGGCGCATTTGTCAAGTCAAAGGGCATCACCAAGAACTCAATAGTGCCCATATCAAGTCCTAAATGCAGTCTTAGGAATGCCAGTTGATTTAATTTTCAATCGATGATAGCTTGATCTTAAATCAATTTTTAGAAGACCTTGGTACCTTGTAGCTGGTCAAATAAATCTTCATTTCTAGGAAGGGGGTATTTATTTTTAATTTTAATACGATTCAACTCTCGATAATGGATACACATTCTCATCAATCCTTCCTTTACGAACAATATTGGAGCTCACTGGTTCTAATAAAACCCTTGTCTAGCAACTCCAACAATTGTACTCTCAATTCTTGAAGTTCTACTGGTGCCATATGATAAGGGGCCTTCAAAATTGGCGTGGCACCCGGTACAAGGTCAATAGTGAACTCGACCTCTCGATTTGGAGGCATTTTTGGTAAATCTTTTGGAAATGCATGTGGAAAATTCTTAATCATTGGAACTTCGTCGATGGTTAACTCCTCTTGATCAGTGCTGGTCAAAGACACTAAGAATCTTTTAGCGGACTTCTTTTTCAACATCGTTCAGCCTGCACTGCTAATATAAGTTGAGGTAGAGGTTTTACCCTTATTCCAAAAAAATGAAATTCTTCTTCATCAGGGCGTTGAAAAATTACATCATTCTCGAAACAACGAATGGTTGCATGATTTTTTGACAACTAGTCCATCCCAAGTATAACATCAAAATCTTTCATATCTAGAACCACTAAGTCTATTTTTATAATCTTTTATATAATTTGCATTAAGCACCTTCTTGGTAGGTAGTGATACTTCTAATATGTTCTCAAGGGGTACACATTCTATATTCGACTTTGGAACGAATATCGAAGAAACAAATGAGTATGTAACTCTTGAATTAATTAATATAAAAGCAGTTGTATCAAAGATTGATATGATACCTGCTACTACATTGCAGTCGAGCTCTGCCTCTTCCTGTGCTAAAGCAAAAACTCTAGCCTTGCCCATCATTTGATCTTCAACCTTCTTAGATTGTCCCTCAATGCAGTCTTTCACGACGTGTCCTGGCTTGCCACATTTTTAACATACACCTTTCGCTACCAAGCATTTTCCCTTATAAGGTTTTCGACATTTAGGACAGAGAGGTCGTGGATTCTTGTTTTGGATATTGGCATCTGTTTTTGTCCTTCCTTCCTTGTTGGAACCTTTTCCATTCCTCTTATTATCGTCGTACCATTTGCGCTTGTCTAAGGAGCCAGTCTGCTGCTTACTACTTTCACCGGTCTGATCATCATCAAAGGTGTATACTTGAGCCTTCTTCAGAATTCCCTAATAAGTACCTATTTGGAATACTGACACTACGTTTCTAATGTCAGTCCTCAGTCCACGCTCAAAGCGTCGAGCTCGTCTCTCCTCCATGCGTCGTGTTTCCTTGCTCAGCTCAAGAAACTTTGCTTCCTTTTTGTCTCTTAAAATAGCTGGAAAGTACTTTTGTAGCACTATCTCTTTGAACTGTACCCATGTAAGGTTATGCTGTTGTTCCTCGGTGTAGGATCTAGTAGTCATCTCCAACCAATGACCTGCTCCCTTTTTTCATCATAAATACTGAACAAAGGATTTTTTATTTATTTATTTTTTATTTTTAGCGTCGATGCATTCCATCAACCTAAATATACGCTCAAGATGGCGAAGCCATTCTTCAGCGGCTAGTGGATCGAGGCCACCTTCAAACACGGGTAGATACATCTTTCGAAATTGTTCTATAATTGAAACAGTTCCTGGCCTGCCTCGTGGCTGGTGAGGTGGTTGCTGCTGCAACATCTCTTGCATAACAGCCAGTAACTCTCGTGCTAAGTTAGCTGTCATCTAAACCTTAAATGTGGGGATCGTGTATTAGACGCCATTCAAGTAAATTCAACTATCTTGGTATAGCCGATGACGATAAAATAATGTTTCTGATCACTATATTCCCATTGTTTCCACTCAAAAGATAATACACGACATAGATATTACTACATGGAAATTATAAACATGTGATTCTGGAATTAGTGCTCATATAAAATAGCTTTATCTAATTTATTAAAATTTCAACATTCAATATAATAATCGTAATTTTTTTGCACTGTAGAAAAAATCTAGAACTCGTTAAACGGATATTTAAAGCTAATAAAATAATATCATACCTTAGATCATCAGTTAGAAGTTGATAATGCCGGTTTCGATGTTGTGTGGATCAAAATTTATTTAATTTTAACATATAAAGAACTCTAAAATTTCAATCTTACAAAGTATGCAGGAAATTTTGACTGGGCTTTGATACCATGATATATAAGCCCCGAAACCTATGCTCCGGAGGTTACTTAAATAATCGCTTTAATCATTATAAAACTTGATTGGTACATTACAATATATAAAAATTTGAAGAAACATCGCAGAATAAATTAAACTTTTTATTGTCTTATAAAAAAAGTCATATAAATTCAAACCACCAATGAAATATAAATTTAACATTTATTTTTAAAAATTCAACATTGATTTCGAAGGAAAAAATAAATTCTAATTTGAATAAAAAATTGTTTTCTAACTAAAAATTAAATATTAAAAGAAAATCTTAAATTGTTGATTCAGCAACACGGATTCTGTTTGCAATTTCAACCTCTGATATGGAATGGGCATATGAATATATATTCAGTATAGATTTCATGCCAGTATTTTCACAATTTAATATAAAAAGCAAATAAAATACACACATAATATAACTTAGTGAGATAGAAACCTGACCGTCTCATTCTCACTTAGGTCATACCCGTTCTCAATCTCCACTTAGAGTATTTAGCCATGTGGAGGGTTTCCGTGTAGATCTTAGTAATAATACCCTATGGTATTTTCCACAACATCTTTCTTTACTTTGAATTATATAATAACGTATAAAACACTTAACTTAAAACATAAAAAAGTGAAAACACAAAATCACTAGGCATTTAATGAAATCTATACCTATTCGTTAAATTCCTTGTGTACTTGAGCTATTTAGGATTGTAAGTTCTTGCGAGCAGATTCGAATTCGTCGAAAAATTTTCTTTTCTTTTCCTTCTTTCCTTCCCCCCTCCCCCGCCTTCTCTCTCTCTCTCTCTCTCTTCTTTCCCACGTTTTTTGGGATTCTTTTTGCCTCTAAATTGTGTGAATTTAAAGTGCACAATAAGAGGATATTTATAGTTGATAATGATAATAATCTAATTAGAATTTTAATAAAATTTAAATTGGAATCTTAGCAAACAACCTTATCAATTAAAATTCTAATTACATGAGGATAAGATTCTAGTTTTAATATGTTAAAATTCTAAATTTATCTAAATACCTTTATATTAAATAATTCGATAATAATTCAATATATATCTAAATATTAAATTCTAGTTTCGTTAAAACTCTTATTTTCAAATTATAAGTATGACAAAATTCTAAACTTATTTAAATACTTTCATAACAGATAATTCAATAATAATTTAATAGATATCCCAAATTTAATTTTATGTGAAACTCATATATATCCAATTATCAGAAATATTAACACAAGGTCCTAGAAAATGGTAAAGTTGATAAGTGACCCTAAAATTTCAAAACGTGCAGTTATGCCTCATAATATATAGTACCAATTTGGGGTATTACACAAAAACCTTACTTTGCATTTTTTTGTTGATGAAATGCCAGTTTATTTTCAATTTTTCTATCATTTGAAATTTAAAACTACCTATGACTTCTTTTAGGTCGTAGTTATTTATCTGCTGAGCTTATGAATTTTTCTTTAGAGATGCCACTAAAATATTCTTAGCTTGTTTCTACATTTTGTTCTATTTTAATATTTTCCTGTCATTTTGTGTTATTACAGAGCCGAACAGATCGCATTGTTTTCAAACTGTTTGGAAAGGAACCCAGTGATTTTCCCATCATTTTACGAACACAGGTATTTTTGAACTTTTGTTTACTTGGATATCCAGCTTTGCCATCTCTCTTTTCTTAGAAAGTTTAACCAAGTGAAAATTTTGTATTTCCAGATATTCGATTGGTTATCCCACAGTCCTACGGACATGGAGAGCTATATAAGGCCTGGTTGTATCATTTTAACGATATATCTTCGTCTATCTGAGTCTGCATGGGAGGAGGTATGCTTGTTTTTGAAGATAACATGCATGTGAAATTGTTGTTTTGTATTCATGGACAAACCTTCTTAAGTCGTGCTTTAAAAGGAACCTCCATAATTTGTCAAACTCCAATTGCTTTGTGCAGCTCTGTTGTGATTTGGCCTCCAATTTGAGTAGACTCCTGGATTTCTGTCACGATGTCACTTTCTGGAGTACAGGATGGATTTATGTCAGGGTGCAGAATCAAATAGCATTTATATACAATGGTAGTCATTATTATGATTCTAGAAAAACATTCTTTAAAATGTCATGTTTTAAGTTGCTACTTTGCAACTATGCTTCTTTGTAGAAGACTGATTAATCACTGTGAATGTTCCTATTCTGCAGGTCAGGTTGTTGTGGACACGTCTTTACCTTTCAAGAGTAGTAATTATAGTACAATTCTGAGTGTTAAACCTATTGCTATTACATCATCTGAGAGAGCTCAGTTTGTTGTTAAAGGCTTTAATTTATCTAGACCCTCCACGAGGTATGCATCTTGATTTGCTGTATGGTTATATTTTCTTCTTCTTGATTTTGTGAATGCAAATGTTAGATAGATTCTGTTCTCCTTACCTCCATAAAATTCTGAAATTCTTGGTCATAATCACAGACATGTCATCACAATATTGAACATTTGTTGCCAGGATACTCTGCTCGCTAGAAGGTAATTATCTGGAAGCTAACAGTGAGTTAGTGGAACACGAAGGTGACTTAGAGAGGCATGATGTTCAACATGTGAACTTTGCCTGTTCAATTCCTGCTGTTAATGGAAGAGGATTCATCGAGGTAATGCTTTATTCTGCTTATAGAATATTGTTCCTCATGGAAGTAACATATTGAACATTTTTATATCATGTCAAATTTGAGAATGTTGGTAACATGGTGCAAAATAAAAATTGTTATAAAGGATAATGGTTTGGGGTAATTCTGCCTGATGTTGACCCCTATTAAAGTTTTGTATGATATAGTTTGGTTACATGAGAAATGCATGCTGTGGCATGGTGGCCATGAAATAATCTTGGCAATGGCTAATTCTGTGTGATGTAGACTTAGCATGCTATGGCATGGTAGTAGCTACGAGCACCAGTATGGCTGCATTCCTGGAGTGTTATGCTAGAGTTTTGTCATTTGTGCAACACACATGTTTTGCTGCCTAATTCAGAAATTCATTGAAAATTTCTCTCTCGCTAACCACCAAATCTTTTCCTATATTTATCCAGGTTGAAGATCATTGTCTTGGCAGAAGCTTCTTTCCTTTCTTAGTTGCTGAGGACAATGTTTGCTCTGAGATGCGTATGCTTGAAAGAGAAATAGAGTTGACCGAGACAGATGATTTCCAGCTAGAAACTGCGAAATTAGCAGCACGGAAAAAAGTCCTGGATTTCATACATGAAATGGGATGGCTTCTCCATAGAAATAATTTGAAGTCCAGAATGGGGCGCTCAGATCCTAAATCAGACTGTTTTCCTTTTAAACGGTTCAAGTACCTCGTGGAGTTCTCTATCGACCGTGATTGGTGTGCTGTTTTAAAAAAACTTCTTGACATTCTTTTCAATGGAACGGTGGGTGCTGGAGACCAGCCTCTCTTGAAGTTTGCACTAAATGAGATGGGTCTCCTACACCGAGCTGTGCGGAGAAATTCAAGATCTCTGGTGGAGATGCTGTTAAAATATGCCCCAGAAAGAGTAGCAGAAGAACTAAGTTTGCAATACAACTCCCTTGTTGAGAGTGACGGGAGTTTCTTGTTTAGACCTGATGTTGTGGGGCCTGCAGGTCTGACACCTCTTCACATTGCAGCTGGTAGGGATGGATCTGAGGATATATTGGATGCTTTGACTTGTGATCCGGGAAAGGTAATCATTTTTCCCCTCCCAATTATAAGCTTGAAGGGTATAAATTTAGTCATTTTAATTTGCATGTGCTACATGTTAGGAGGCCTCTTCTTTGCTTTCACAGCCTTTCGATAAGTTGTGCAAAATAAATATTGCGATCAGGCCTACTAAAATTGATTATCAGTTGTACGAATGAAGACTGGCCTAATTTTGCCATTCTAGACTTGTAGTTGAATCAGATCCATTTAGTTTACTATATGAATTTTAAAATATGCTCATATGACCTGATTTAGGTGGGAATTGAAGCATGGAAGAATGCCCATGACAGCCCAGGATTCACGCCTGAAGATTATGCTCGACTGAGAGGACACTACTCTTACATACACCTTGTTCAGAGGAAAATTACCAAGAAAGTATCTTCTGGGCATGTGGTTGTTGACATTCCTGAGACTTGTTCAGATAGCGGTGTGAAGCAGAAGAAAAATGAAGGGGCGACCACTGGTTTTGAGATTGGAATGTCCAAAGGAAGTGTTCCGCGTCCCTGTGGTATTTGTAATCAGGAATTGGATTACAGAAGCATGAGTCGAACTTTGCGTTATAAGCCTGCAATGCTTTCAATGGTGGCCATAGCGGCTGTATGTGTTTGTGTAGCTCTTCTTTTCAAAAGCTCGCCCGAAGTTCTGTACGTGTTCCGTCCGTTCAGGTGGGAGATGTTGGAATATGGTTCCAGCTGAGAGCAACATGATAATAAGTGATTAAAGTTAATAGGCCTATAGTGAACTGTAGAGCTGAAACGTTTGCTGGACAGCTCATTGGGTATTGACCTATTTGTTTAGATTGTGATTTTCTTTCTGGATAAATATCATGCCGGTGATTGTTTAAATGAAATAATTTACTTTGTGTTGAATGCAGCAATAGAACTTGGATGGCGTTCTTTATTTAAATTTATGCTTCACATTTTAATTGTATTTTTATGTTTTATGATGTGAGAAACATTTGAGATAGTTGAGTAGAAAATATAAGGCTTGTACAGAAAGACTTTCCTTTTTAATTGTTTTGAAAATGTTTAGGACTCTTATCATTTAGGGTATATTTGGCAAAACGTTTATAAGTTGGGATATATTAGTGGCAAAACGAGTAATGCTTATAAATAAATAGGATAATTCACACAACATTTTTTCATAATTACACCACATTTTATTTACAAGAAATATTTTTAGTATTTGCTCACTTCTACTTTTATGTCCTCAACTATTTTCTTGTTGAGTTGTCATTTGTAACTTATTTTTGTCATCTCTAACCACGATTTTTCATCCAAATATGCTACTAATGTGCATCGAAAAGGTGGACATGTTTAACTTTTGTATTAATTATTTAGTTTAATAATTTTAAAATAAGAGAGAGCGAGTTGTGTCTTTTTGGCCCTTGTAACAAATTTTGGACGAAAATTGTCTCTATAGACGAGATAAAAATTAATAGAAGATTGATGATAAAAAAGTTGAAAACATGTGTAAAAATAAGAAAATTTTAGGTGTATGCATTGTAATTAAAATGTAGTGTTGTTAACAATCCTAAGAACTAAAAAGTATTTATAGAAACAAGCAGTGATACCTAAATTATCATACAAAGAAATTTCTTTTCTTTTTCATATTTCATTTTTTTTTTTTTTTTTGGGTGGTTGGGGGTGTAAATTAGCTTTGGAAAAATAATGGTTGATAAGACTTTTTAACTCTTCTAAAGTCTGGTTGAATGCATTTACACGACCTTATGATGATTATTATACAAATGTATACTTTTTGAAAAGTTTTGAGATCTAATTCTGTTTTTTTTTGAAACGCTTGCTGCAATATTCCAATATAAATATAAATTAATAAAAGAGAGAAGGGCAAAATCAAACAAAAGAGGATGCGGTGAGCGTGGATCGAACACGCGACCTTCAGATCTTCAGTCTGACGCTCTCCCAACTGAGCTATCCCCGCGTGATGTTGTTTTATCTTTTTGTTCATATAAATCTACTCACATATTCCACCTCCCCCACTATATTGCCGTTTTCATTCTTTGTTTATTATCACCAAAATAAAAAGTCCAATTTCAATCAATCTCCTACATTCTTGCACGGCTCTCTCTCTCTCTCAAATTTTTGATCGGGTCAATTATGAGAGGGGCCAAGATGCCCAAGACTACAATTCAAAAGAACAATTCTCTTTAGGTTTCTATATTTTTTTTTATTTATATTTTTCAGTTTCCATCTTACCTCTCGAGAATTTCTATCGCATCCCATAGGATTCGAACCCAAGATCTTTGCTAACTTAAATTGAATCCAATACCAAGTGTCTATAACGCCCCAAATCTGAAGTTCGGTTCGATACCTAACATGCATTCCTAGGATTTTAAAAAAAAAAAATTTCAAGTGTTTTATTATTTTTTTATCGAACTTATTCTATTTAACCTCAAACCATATGTAAGATAATCTTGGCTCATATTTGGATTACCAGTTAGATTCTGAATGTCATGAAATTTATACAATATCTTTTTAACATATCTAAAAATTACATATTAAAATTTCAAAGTTTTTCAACAATGTTAACCATGTACTGCTCTTGGGTACACTTATCTTAGTGTATGGAAAATGCCATAACTTTTTTTACTGACCTCCAAATGACTTGATCTA